GCCAAACTCAGGCAGCACTGCAATGCTGCCCATTTTATACACAGGAAATTACACAGCATAACAAGTATTGGCTAATTGTCATGGAAATAATTGAAATTGGTTGCTATGATTATGTATCTGATTACTATCGGCTGACAATTCACACAGACGTGTTGGGGGTTCCTATGCATCCATGTCGAAGTAAAATGGAAGTTACATCTTGGATATTCCTTTATATTGTTACATCCAGGATATATCCCTTAACTCATTCACCCCTGAAGACACATTTGACCTCTTTCAATTTAAAGATTGAAATAGTTCATTAAGAAATTTCAGAGGTGAATGAGTTAAGGTGTTACATTCCGGAAATCCCTTTTAGTGTTACATCTGGGACATCTTTGTACTGTTACATCACAAACATGCCTAATAGTCTTACATTCTCAAAATCCTTGATAATGTTATGACCTTGAACGCCCTTCCAATGTTATGCCCTGGGATTTCTGCTACAGAGAATAATTCCCCAGGTATTATTTCTATGAGTTTACAAATTTAGCCCTAAATGAAGACAAGGCTTATATTTCAAGACTATATACATGGCCATGATCTGCCAAATAGGTACAAGGTGGGCTAAATGGCAAGCATGGGCTTATCAATGGTAATTTAAGGTAACGTTTTTTCTAAATTTTCTTTCTTTTGGTTGTTACTAGAATTAGAAGCAAACTTGAAAATGCATGAACAAATTTTGATAATTTTTGCAATAATGCAATTCCATACAAAGAGCATGCAGCAACCTTTAAAAAGACAATTCCGTTTGGAAAACAGTGGTAAGATTAATTGGAAAATTTGACTAAATATGTAGACAGATCAAACAATTTTGAAATCCTGACCATTAATCATTCATGAATGTAGTAAAAGTTATTGATTTTGTTATAATTATTGGGTTATCCTCAATTACCTGTCTGTCTGTATTTAGCAGTCTTTTGTGTTACTGTACTCTGTGTGAGTACATGGTGTTACTGTACTCTGTGTGTAAGTGCATGGTGTTACTGTACTCTGTAAGTACATGGTGCTCCTGTACTCTGTAAGTACATGGTGTTACTGTAATCTGTAAGTACATGGTGTTACTGTACTCTGTGTGTAAGTGCATGGTGTTACTGTACTCTGTGTGAGTACATGGTGTTATTGTACTGTGTGCAAGTACATGGTGTTACTGTATTCTGTAAGTACATGGTGTAACTGTACTCTGTTTAAGTACATATGCATGGTGTTACTGTACTCTGTGTGTAAGTACATGGTGTGACTACTCTGTAATTATATAGTGTTACTGTACTCTGTGTGTTACTGTACTCTGTAAGTACATGGTGTTACTGTACCCTGTGTGTTACTGTACTCTGTGTGTTACTGTACTATGTGTGTTATTGTACTCTTTAAGTAAATGGTATTACTGTACTCTGCAAGTACATGGTGTTACTGTACTCTGTGTGAGTACATAGTGTTACCGTAATCTGTGTGTAAGTACATGGTGTTACTGTACTCTGTAAGTACATGGTGTTACTGTACTCTGTGTGAGTACATAGTGTTACTGTACTCTGTGTGTAAGTACATCATGTTACTGTACTCTAGATCTGTAAGTACAGTGTTACTGTGCTCTGTAAGTACATAGTGTTACTGTACTCTGTAAGTACATGGGGTTACTGTACTCTGTGAGTACATGGTGTGACTCTACTCTGTAAGTACATGGTGTGACTGTCCTCTGTAAGTATGTGGTGTGACTGTACTCTGTAAGTATGTGGTGTGATTGTACTCTGCGAGTACATGGGGTTACTGTACCCTGTAAGTACATGGTTTGACTGTACTCTGTGAGTACATGGTGTTATTGTACTCTGTAGGTACATGGTGTTACTGTACTCTGTATGTATATGGAGTTACTGTACTCTGTAAGTACATGGTGTTCCTGTACTCTGTAAGTATATGGTGTTACTGTATTCTGTAAGTATATGGGGTTACTGTACTCTGTATGTATATGGGGTTACTGTACTCTGTAAGTACATGGTGTTCCTGTACTCTGTAAGTATATGGTGTTACTGTATTCTGTAAGTATATGGGGTCACTGTATTCTGTAAGTTCATGGTGTTACTGTACTCTGTAGGTACATGGTGGTACTGTACCCTGTAAGTACATGGTGTGACTGTACTCTGTAAGTACATGGGGCTACTGTACTCTGTAAGTATATTGGGTTACTGTACTCTGTAAGTACATGGTGTTACTGTACTCTGTAAGTACATGGTGTGACTCTATTCTGTGAGTACATGGTGTTACTGTACTCTGTAAGAACATGGTGTTGCTATACTCTGTGAGTACATGGTGTTACTGTACTCTGTAAATACATGGTTGACTGTACTCTGTAAGTACATATGCATGGTGTTACTGTATTCTGTGTGTAAGTACATGGTGTGACTCTACTCTGTAATTACAGTGTTACTGTACTCTGTGTGTTACTGTACTCTGTAAGTACATGGTGTGACTCTATTCTGTGAGTACATGGTGTTACTGTACTCTGTAGGTACATGGTGTTACTGTACCCTGTAAGTACATGGTGTGACTGTACTCTGTAAGTACATGTGGCTACTGTACTCTGTAAGTATATGGGGTTACTTTACTCTGTAAGTACATGGTGTTACTGTACTCTGTAAGTACATGGTGTGACTCTATTCTGTGAGTACATGGTGTTACTGTACTCTGTGAGTACATGGTGTTACTGTACTCTGTGAGTACATGGTGTTCCTGTACTCTGTAAGTACATGTGGCTACTGTACTCTGTAAGTATATGGGGTTACTGTGCTCTGTAAGTACATGGTGTTACTGTACTCTGTACGTACATGGTGTTCCTGTACTCTGTGAGTACATGGTGTTATTGTACTCTGTAAGTATATGGTGTTCCTGTACTCTGTAAGTACATGGTGTTACTGTTCTCTGTAAGTACATGGTGTTATTGTACTCTGTAAGTACATGGTGTTCCTGTACTCTGTGAGTACATGGTGTTATTGTACTCTGTAAGTATATGGTGTTCCTGTACTCTGTAAGTACATGGTGTTGCTATACTATGTGAGTACATGGTGTTACTGTTCTCTGTAAGTACATGGTGTTGCTGTACTCTGTAAGTATATGGTGTTCCTGTACTCTGTAAGTACATGGTGTTGCTATACTCTGTGAGTACATGGTGTTACTGTTCTCTGTAAGTACATGGTGTTGCTGTACTCTGTAAGTACATGGTGTTCCTGTACTCTGTAAGTACATGGTGTTGCTATACTCTGTGAGTACATGGTGTTACTCAACTCTATTACATGTAGTATATAGTATGACTGTACTGTGTTTAAGTACATGGTGTTACTGTACTGTGTGTGTTAGTACATTGTGTTACTGTACTCTGTTTAAGTACATGGTGTGCCAGTACTTTATCCGCCACATCAAATTGCTCTAAAATTCATAGATCTGCCAGCTCATCATTTCTTCAATGACTGAGATATAATTACAGGCTGCCTGAGGCGGGTAATACATCCAACATTTACGGTATATCTGATATCTGCAGACTCTAACAGATCAATATTTTTTTTGCATTTGAAGAAAGATCACGAGATATTTATAAATCTGAACCTGGAAGTGTTCAATGACCTCACAGTATATATCAATGAATCGCTGACAAGTCAACCCTAAAAGGAATATCGAGTTCAGCAGACGGAACGGATAAAGTAAAAGCTTTAATTGTCTTTTTTTTTAAATAGATTTTCTTGATTTTCAAAACTGTAACACATATTTATTAAAACTTCATATTTCCTACACTCCATCCTTTCCTACTTCTACATTGCCATAGCCTGTAAGTATTCCATCTACCAACAAGTTGATGTTACACTATTCTCCACCCTATGTTGGACAGATAGGAACACCAACAGATACGACACTGATCTACATGGGGATTAACAGCATGTTTTTATATTATTTGTTGTGGTTTGCACATTTTTGGGGGCAATTGAAGACATCTACACAACTTAGGAAATATGGAGATCGAACTGGAAAACTTTGTTATTAGGCCGTTTCTGATGGTAAGATAGCTGAAGTGAACTGCAATGCTTTTTGACAATGGCATACATTTCAAGTCTCAAATCAATTCACATGTTTTTTTTATTTCAATAGAGAGGTATTCTCCAAATAGACATTTAATCATTCACTTTTTTTGTTCGTTTCTCAATTGAAAGTCATCTCCAAATAGATATTTCTTTCTAATATATCTCATTGACAAAATAGAAAAGTCTTCTGTACATATAGCTTATTCATACATAGCCTGAAAATAAATTCATTTACTTTTTTTAAAATTCGTCCTACCCAAACAGAATTAACTGAGTTATCCCTGGCTTCAAACTCACTGATATTTTTCATTTTTACCTCGGCAAAGTCTTTTCATTTCATTTTTACCTCGATCAAGTCTTTTCAATCATTATTATGACAAATTTAAATGACATACATGCTGTACTTTAAATACTTAACAATGTTGACAAAACATGACGCTGAAAGCATAGAAGACAGGCATCAAATGATTATTACATATTTGCAGTTTACTAAACCTTCATGTTTTATGACCCAGGACATTTAAATATGAAGGAATCCTCAAAAAAAACAACATTTATTTTTATTTTATCCTCAATGCAAAGAGATTTTTTTACTCAGTTTTACTGCTTAATACAGGCTTATTTCCCCCAGCTAAAAAGTGCCTTATATTCCCAAAATGACCAAAAACTGAGGAATATATTCCCAATTTCCATACAAATAATGCTAAATTTTCCCAATTCATAAAGGAACAGCCTGTTGTAAAATGTTTGTAACAAGACCACTGATGCAATATGTAAACATAGATACATAGACAAAAATGCTCTCAGTCAACACAGTGATCTTGTGTGCTGTAAGAGGTACACAGCTGGTACACCTGTTAAACCCTCATCACCTTTTATAGATGGTAACATACTTACCCTTTGTGTAGTCAGCAGGGTCCTCCTGCTCGTCATCATCAGACCCAAGGATCTCCTCCTCCTCCTCTTCCTCGTACTCTGGGTCAGCCCGCGTCTGGGGATCCGATCTGGGGACAGACACAAACACATCGTCAATGTCATTCATGAGGTGCCCCCTGCGCAGACAAAGCACATTGCGCTCGAACAGGCTCCTCAGTACTTTCATTGTGCAGTACTTAGCCAGCTCCCGAGTGTTTTTGTATCCCCCGAGACTCGAGTGTCAATTTGCTACCGTTTGAGTTACTGTCTAAACAGTTGCCTGCCCTGTGAACGGGATCTATGCCGATTCCATCCCTGTTATACATACACGAATCAATTAATCAATGGAAATTTTGGCCCCCTCAGTAAGATGCCAAGTCTTCCACCTATTGGATACCATCCATCAGAGAATTGTCAGTATGTTGTGGTGCTCCTGATGGGGAGCTCTTCTCCACCCGATCACCTCAGGTCAATAGTCAAGACTACCAACTATACCCAGGCAAAACTCTGAGGTGTTGCCTTCCCTCTGAACAGATATGTTTTTGTATATCAGGATAGATATTTTTGGTTTCTGGCCTCTGTATGTACACCAGAGCTGTATCTCACACATGCAGTCCTACATCAGAGCCCTATACACGCTTTCCCTACTAAGATGGATGATGATGTTGATGCTGTGTATGTAGCCTTCAGTGATATTTTTAGTTCCAATCATATCTATTTGCTAGCCTGTTGTACACATCTTCTGGTCATGACTGGCTGACATCATACATATACACTAGAGGTGAAGTATATGTAGCTATTTCTTTACACCTAGACCGACAGTACACCGCACACATCCTAGGATGTCGTAACACACAACATCGGAGGATGTCGTAACACACAACATCGGAGGATATCATAACACACAACATCCTAGGATGTTGTAACACACAACATCGGATCAGGTCGTAACACACAACATCCGAGGAGGTCGTAACACACAACATCCGAGGATGTCGTAACACACAACATCCGAGGATGTCGACGTCCTAACACATCGGAGGATGTCGCATCCCTTGGTGGGTCCTACTCCCATATCTACAAGTTTACATAACTCTCGCCTTCACAGGTCCTCAACACTAGCAGTGGGGTACGTACATGTAGCCTATACTGCCCATCAGTTCCAGCATGCCCCTATAACTACCACCCAACTGGACCACCATCACTAACATACATGTGCATTAATATCTACTGCATCTAAGGACTAATGAACATGAAAGCGACATGAGACAATGAATTATAAATTCCTGTACAATGATTGGTATCAGTGGGAAATTGATTAAGGTTTTACAAACTTTCACATCAGCTTAACACGTTTCTCAAACTTTTATTTTCAGTTAATGACAAGTGTAGTCATCAATAACGACAAATTCTCCCCAAGAAATCGTTAATTGTGAATTTGACGACAGGATTTAATGGCTATTACTCTTCACAGTAACAGTTGTAATACATGTAATTGTTTCTAATACATTAAACAAGGGTAATACAATGATTGAAAAACTAACATCCCTAGAACAGAAGACACCAATTACATTTGAAATATATAGCTAGCTCATGACAGGATGTGTAATCTCTTTTTAAAATCATAATTTGAGTGCACAGAAATTAATAATGGCTCTGTACTGGTAAATTTGTTCTCTCATTCATTCTTTCATAATGGGTAAAACAATATCATCTCAATGCTTATAAGTGCATACTGGAAACCCTAATATTATGTATTCTGGTTTAAACTGTACAACACAAAATGTGTGAAAAATCCAACAGCTAGGAGCTTTAATCCGAACATCAATTTTGCCTTGAAATTTCCAAAATCACCCAAGGTGATGATATTTTAAGATGTGATTTTATCTTTTTCAAAATCTAAAACTGTAGACAAATTGCCTGAAAATGCTGGAATTTCTGTGCGGTGCTACAAAACCTAACTACATATCTCCCTTTGGTTTTGCCATATGCCTTATCAATACTACCAAAGTACATAAATCATCTACCATACGCCACATTTCTTTACTGTGTATTTCATCCCGACCCTGGCCTTTAATACTATTTGCCATATGCCCAATTTCAGTGTTTGAAGTTATATTTATCATCAGACAATCCGTTTACCAATTTTATACTGTTGTCAGCAGCCAGTGGTAGGACTGGAGACAGAAGACAGAAACACATCATTTTTAAAGTACCATCAGCTTCTGTTTAAGTCGTCACTGGAATTTTTTAACAGAATTTTTGTCTGTTGGAACACTGCAGTCACGCAAGTTTCTTTTGAATTTTTGCAAGATACACAAAATTTGGCATAACCTGTCTTAACCAAAACCAATCATCTGAGACCTTCGTAAACCGGCAAAGTTCAAACTTATCATCCGAGACCTTCGTAAACCTGCAGAGTTCAAACCTATCATCTAAGAACTTAATAAACCTGCAGAGTTCAAACCTATCATCTGAGACCTTCGTAAACCTGTGGAGTTCAAACCTATTATCTGAGACCTTCGTAAACCTGCAGAGTTCAAAGAACACTTGTTACTAAAAATGTGCAAAATAAGCACGAAAGCATTACTTGAAAATGTATAGTACTGTCCAATACAATTAGCTCATTAATATTCACCCCTACATATTAAAACTGGACTTGCCCAGCCTTTGATTTGGTAAAGTTCAAATGTGACCTTATGGTTGAATGGGTTAGTACTGTAAGTTATCAAATGATTATATAAAGGAACTACTTTTCACATATTACTGATCATCACATGTACAGCCCTCAAGTCTGAAGTCCCACGAGTATTAAGTTACTTATTTTAAAACCATCAATATCAAAAGTAATGAGCAGTAAAGTGCAAAACAAATATTTGGTCATAGTACAATGACCGGATTAATTGAATGTGCATACAAGTATGGCTTATCTTGGGATTAATTGNCCCTCCGTTTATACAAAACTGAGAACGCTTTGGCCAATGATGCTCCTGACCAAATTTGGTCAAAATCCTCTGAGCCATTCAGGACAAGTAGCATTTTAAAGGAAAAAGTTGCCGGACGCCGGACGCTGGACGCCGGACGCCGGACGCTGCACCATGGGATAAGCTCACTTGGCCCTTCGGGCCAGGTGAGCTAAAAATAATTGTAAGCCCTGATGCTGAAATGTCATAAGAGTAATAATTGAGGCTAGAACTTCAAATCCGAAATGTCTTAACCAACGCTAGCGTAAAACACCTCTCTGAGCACCAATATACAAGCCCACACCAAACACCTCCACCCACCTCGCTGCCATCAACAAACACACAAGAGCAACACCATTTGGTCCCTAATGAAACAATTTCTCTCCTAATCCAAATTGGTACGTTTGTCCTTGTGTAAATGGGTTAAAAAAACTAAACAAAGGTTCTTTATCACAGTTTGTGATGTGCTGTGTGAAATATTGAGCAAGGAAAAGCATGACAAAGTGGATAATTCAGACAAGGTCCAGCGAATCTAATTTATATAATGACAACGCGTCTCTGACAGACATGCATGACAACCTGCAGGTGCGTTAGAGAGCCATGGTTTATACAGTGCACATGTAGATCTCCCGACTCCTCGTGCACTACTCTCGTGAGGATACCAAACAGCTGAGTCTGCAGAATTTCGTGAATATTTCCCATGGCTTTAGACATGGAACATATCTGACCAAAGACATGAATAAATTTGCCAATGTAACCCCCCAGATACTTACTGCAGACATCTAAAACACAATGATACATACATTCTACCAAGTTATAGACCCTGTGGGGTTTTTTTTTCTACGAATCTGCAATCTCCATGTATCAACACCCATACTTGCAAATCGCCATCCGACAGAATTTTCTATAATCCATTTGATGGTTGTCATTTGTGGAACTTGTGGTTTATATTTAGTTACGAGTTTTGCTTATCTAAACAATGCATCGTGTCCACCGATGTATGCAAAAATCCTAGATAGGGAACACTGTTTGACATGCTGCCAAAATATCATCAGACCAAAAGCATGATGGGGTGACAGAGTATATATACAAACAACTGTAACCACACTTAATGCGTGTGAATTGTTGATATACGCAGCACTGTACATGTATACTATGATCAATAACCTGTCTGTGTTTGAAGTAAAACTCATCACATTGGCATCTCAGCAAGAAATCTAATATTATATACATGTAGATAAAATAAGAGCATGTATAAATAACTATCTGCTGAATCAGTTATTATCAATGTTGCAAGACAGAAACAGTAAATTTAATGGCCAGAATGTTTATCAAGACTTATTTATCAGAACGTTTACTGAAGATTTAATCCACAGAAAATTTACAATGATTTAGTATTAAGAATAAAATGTGAAGAAAGATTTAATTGCCAGAAATGTTAAATAAGATCTAATATCAAGAAAGTTTACATAGATTTAATAGCCAGAATGTTTACATAGATTCAATAGCCAGATTTTTTACATAGATTCAATAGCCAGAATTTTTACATAGATTCAATAGCCAGAATTTTTACATAGATTCAATAGCCAGAATGTGTACCTGATTCAATAGCCAGAATGTTTACATAGATTCAATTGCCAGAATGTTTACATAGATTTAATTTTAATTGCCAGAATGTTTACATAGATTCAATTGCCAGAATGTTTACATATATTCAATTGCCAGATTGTCTTCATAGATTCAATAGCCAGGATGTTTACCTAGATTTCATAGCCAGAATGTTTACATAGATTTAATAGCTAGAATGTTTACATAGATTTAATAGCTAGAATGTTTACATAGATCTAATATCAAGAAAGATTTAATTTTAATTGCCAGAATGTTTACATAGATTCAATTGCCAGAATGTTTACATATATTCAATTGCCAGATTGTCTTCATAGATTCAATAGCCAGGATGTTTACCTAGATTCCATAGCCAGAATGTTTACATAGATTTAATAGCTAGAATGTTTACATAAATCTAATATCAAGAAAGTTTACATAGATTTAATAGCCAGGATGTTTACCCCGATTTAATGGCCAGAATGTTTACATAGATTCACTAGCCAGAATGTTTACATAGA